GTTCTGCAATCCACAACCTTTCTCTACTCTTGTTCTGCAATCCACAACCTTTCTCTACTCTTGTTCTGCAATCCACAATCTTTCTTCACTCTTGTTCTGCAATCTTTCTTCACTACCATTTTTTTACATATCTCTTGCCATTTTTTTTACACATCTCTTGCTGGCTTTTCATCCACTCAGGGTTCATTATTACAGGCATCAGCATAAATTGGCCGTGCATCAAGACATCACGCAAGCATTATCTCCAAAGTGAAGTGCGATACTGGGCACTACACACAAAACGTTTTGACTGTATACATCACAATCAATTACAAAAACCTGAAAAGTAGGGATAAACTGATGTTGGTTTAACTGCCTATCCACTGTCCGCTAGGTGAATTGGAATATCAGCCGATGTCTAATCAGATGCAATGTTTCACTGACATTAACAATTTCCCCAACAAGTGTTGACAGACCTCAACATGATATAGGCATACTGCCAATGACACAAACACAGTGTACTCCTTTAGAGTGTCAGTTTACGCATTAATAATATGAATTCCACTAAGTATGAAGGATTAGTTTTGCCTTTCTTGTCACTGAGTTGAGAGAATAATCTGTATGTATCACATTGCACATTGCTGCTCTCGTGATACTGGTAGTGCTCCGTTGTCTTCACACCAAAATTGAGGTGCACACGGCTCGCTCGTGAACAGCAGCATGCAGAGTGTTAGACACACAACGCCTTGTGGCACCACACACAGTGTAGTTCCCTGGCTCCGTTCATGACATTTAATAGAAACGGTATACATGTACACTGACTGCTCCATTGTGGGGCCTTGGGCCACGGGCTGTGCATTGAGTTGTTGTGGTATGGATCGCATGCAGGTAATTTTGGGGGATACTTTAAGTGGGTGTAAATGTTCATTTATCATACCAATGAGTAAAACACAGTTTTGATTCATGCTCAAATAAAAATAAGAAATTTGTATTTGACAAAACTGAGTGTAGAGTTTGTTCCTTTCTTCAATTTAACATCAGCACTCATATTGGCAAGGAAGGTCAAATTTTGCCTGTCCAATGTTTTGACAATATTGCTGAATATCAGCTCCATCCAATGTCTGATCAAATCATTGGTTGATCCCTGCTGAAAAGTTTCTTTTCTTATACATAAGTTTTGAACGAAGTGAGTTATAAATCACACATAGACTAGCATAAGCCAGGCACTAATGTATGTCTAAATTCAATTAATGGAAGACTTTGAGACGCTTGGCAGTGGCAGAAAAATCGGCCTTTTCCACAGTTGTGCTCATGCTGAGAACTGCGCACCCATGCCCAGGACTGGCAAAAAGACTGATTTGTCTGCCACCATCAAGCGTTTCAAACTCTGCCATGGAAAAGATCAACACCTCGATCAACTAATCTAGCAAGGCAACTAATCAACCTATAATCAACTAATAAAACTATCAACTAATCAAGCTTTCAGTTCTCGGGTACACAAAAACTATTTGAAGTGACTGACAACAAGACTGTACAGGATAAAATTCCTGAGTCTCGGTTGCTGAGCTTAAACCAAAGGCCTACTGAAATCAATGATACAGATTTACATAGTTGACAAGAGTAGTCAAACCATCCTTCACTGGAGTCAAGTAGTGAACACACACATTTAGCTAACCATGTTCTTCATGTTTGAACTTGTTTCTGGCCGACTTCAACAACCAGATGTATTTTTAACCATCCATGAAGTATATTATGGGCATTAGGTGGCTACTAATCAATTTATCATTCTTGTAGGCTAGCCCTTTTCTAAGTCCCAAATGTACTCCATTTAAAACATCAAGCTGGTCTGAGTACTTGGCAGTACATCTGCATAGTAGCAGAAACACTGACAGAGTGACTGCCTATAACCAAAGCTCAAGTACTCAGGTATCTACTTTCTCAAGCTTCATTCATACTGTTTCATATTATATTCAGTAAACGTGTTTAGAAAAAGAAACCCACACCACAGCAACACTGCCACTTGTTACTTATGGTTCTCCTAGTATTATTGAGGAATAATAAAGAACAAACAATTTCAGTTTAAGCAACAAGAGATGGTACTTGCTACTGAATTTGTTTAGGAATCTCTCTGAAATTCAAATAATGCCACGGTTAACATACCATATCCTGTGCATTCAAGTTGTCATAGGCGCTCACAATAGCTTGGTAATGATGCTGTCTCCACATAAAGATATCACTCCAGTGAGTCAGGTCATCAGACACCATAGGAAGACGGTTCCTGACAAAGATTCACAAAACCAAATTCATCCAAAATATAGGGCAAAGCTGATGAGATATTCATGTCCTTTCATACAGTGTCCTATGGAGAACTTAACCAAAACCTCAATTCTTATCTTCAGGTACAGGTGGACTTTTTTCAAAGCAGATTTCAATAATTTCATTGCTTTATACTTCTTTTCATTACAACAGCCAGATACAATAAACCAATTTTGATATCACTTTCAGCAAAATGGTGCACTAACAGATTCATCAGCCATGCCATTGTAGGAACAAGTTTAAATACATGTCTAAAACTGGATAAAATAAATAATCAGGGCATCCAATGTAACGATATCTGAATAAAATGAAAAAATAACAGGGCCTACTTCAAAGTACAATTTATACTCCAAAGTTCTCAAACATTACGAGGTGGTCACACCAAAGTAGGCTTCTTATAGTGTAGTATGACTGTTACAGAACAGTCAACTTATGTCCGGTGTTGTCAAGTATATTTTGAGTACCATGTTCAATGCTGCATATGGAGCAGTTTGGTGGAAGCAAAAGCCTGAGATCATAGACCGCACACTGAATACTTTAAAGTTAGATTGGAACATAAATTCAAACCTTTAGACTGGCTCTTAACTAAAATCAAGCTTTCAGTTCTCGGGTACACAAAAACTATTTGAAGTGACTGACAAGAAGACTGTACAGGATATAATTCCTGAGCCTCGGTTGCTGAGCTTAAACTAACAGCATAGATTTGTGTAATTTGATACTATTCTAACCTCCATGTCTTCACAATGGCTTTCATATCATGCAGACTCTGGTTGCGTCCAAGGTTAGCTGGCTGTAGTCCCTGGTGTATCTGAGATGCTTCATGAAGTTCTATGATACGCTGAGCAGCCTGTAGCAACGGTGAGTGAGCCCGAGTCACGTAATGTGGTAGGCGACGCCACTCCTTAATAGCTTGACTGCTGGAACTCTCAACCAGGCGCTCAATCTAAGCACAAGAGCAATACATAACTCATATGACTTCATGACTCACACAGGTTCTCACTGGTAGTGTAACTCACTGCATTCATTTTCAGGTTGCTCAGTATGAAAACACAAAGGTCTATTAATGTGAAATCCCACAGGAAGATTTTACCATGGAGAGGTTTTTCTCATCTGGATGGCAGATTGCTATGAAGCCTCGATACAAGTTCACCTTCCAATTCATCTCACGAGGACAACTCTGCTCTACCTGAGATATCATCAGCAATAAAGATGGACATATGGTAAATGCAGCAGTACAATTAGCCTTGACCAAGCCAACCTATACATGTAATTTGTTATGTCATGGAGTGAGTGGCTGAGCTACTACGTGAGCCCGCTGCACTGGTGGAAGGTATTTGGATTATTTCTCAGAAGTCCATTACATTGTAAGTCAGGTAACAATTGAGCACTCCATGTAAGTAAATGGCTATGCACACAACAAAACTACAATGACCGCATGAATAGCTCCAAGAGTGTGTCCTTGGATGAGAAGGGGAAGAAAAAACAGGATTTCAAATTCTCTAAAGGAGTGAAACTTCTGGCCTATTATGAGTATCAAACTCGATTCTGATTGAAAACAAATTTAAAGGCAAAGAAGTGCAGAATATTTCATCAACACAATGGTCTGGGGAATCAGAAATCTTCGCCTTCTGTTGCAACTGTAGGAAAAGTGAGAACACTTCAGTCAATTCCGCACAATCTGAATAAAATTACAATGTATCTACAATGATACCATAATACCAGACTATAAACACTTAGTGTATTTCTGCAGCATAAGGGAGAAGTACCACAACCTACCTGAGCTAATGCCTCCTTCATTGCACTCCAATTGGGCACCCTCCAGGCACTCTCTAGGACTAGATGGGGATTAGTTTGGCCCTTAGCATTCCCATAATCCATCAGTAGATCCCATTGGTGGAGTTCCCGTGCACAACGCACCCAGTGCTGTTCCCACAACTGGTACTCAGAAAAGACAGCCGGTGCTGCAGGTCCTGCATTATGCTCTGCCCGTGCCTTGGCCATTACCTTCAATGTCAAACAATCCGTATTAACTTCCTTGCTAACACATTACAAATTGCTGGCACCATGAAATTATCCTCCCCCCCCCGAAAAATACTACTTAGGTTGGTATGTATGTGCCAGCTTCTTAACCCCTTGACGACAGGAATTTTTTTCCGAAAGCCGAGTCCAAGAATTCCAGCCTCGCTTGGCCACGAAGTCCACCTGCCAAACTGCAAATTCTCGGTTTGTGGCCCTGCATGCTCTGTACGCTTTGAATTACACAGTGCGGCTCTACTCGCGCTTCCACATTCCCGTTGCCTCTTTTCAAAGTGGGGACTATTGTNAGCCAGGGTCTGCCTTCTTTCACCGTGTTTGCTCGAGCATGGCCCGAGAATAATAGCTGAAAAGCGGGCTGAGGATCTCAATTTCTAAGGTGGCTCTTACCATCTCCCGGTGCGATGGGGTTGAAAAATTCTACAGATCTATTTGTTGTTTGGGTATTCTATAATGTCATTATCTAAACTTAAGTATACAACAGAGATATGGTGTCTTGTTAATTAAACTTGGTATTGAAAAAAAACCCGTTATTTCTTCGTTCAGGTGTGTCACACACTCATTTATTCACTTGATGACTTGATCCATCATTTTCAGAACATCAATGCTCACCCCTTCATAAGCTGATTGAGCCTGTTCATAGAAACCTTGCTGCTCATAAGCAATTGCAGTAGCAGTTTCAGGAAACTTGCAACGTTTCTGCCACAGTCCTGCCCACATGTCTTCCTCTTGCAATCTCTCATAGATCTCAGATAATGAGTCCAGTGTTTCCTGTAAAGTAGGTAAAATCACTGTAATCAGAGGATCTGCTCATTCTCTAACATTTGCATTGTAAATGTACCTAGTCTTCATTGTGGACTGTGTGAACATGGTTGCTCATTGTGCTATTTATCATTCAATAACCTAAACAATTCAGCATGCAGAAGCAAGAGAGCAGTCAGATATCCATCAACATCCAAATTCTTTCTAGTTTCAATGTTTAGGATATGCACCAGCATTTTAGCTAGCGAGCTGTGCAGCCGTGTTTTGCATAGCCAGTTTCGTGAAATCACGGCCCATTTTTCAAGCACGGCGTGGCAGTGCAAATCAAGCATTGCACTACTTAATTCGAGTCTTGTGTAATCTAGATCCCCAAAAATATGAAAATAAAATCTGAGCTAAAATTTAGTCTTTTCCCATGCTTTTTCCCGGCCCAATCAACCAAGTCCAACATAGAAAAACATAGATAAAACAATTGCACACAGTTTTACAATTCAATTTTTTTTCTAAAAGCTGTTATTTTTTGGTTCAAAAAGATTAAACTCTCAGAAAAAATGTCAGAGATTCATCAGAGACCACCAGAGAGCATCTAAAACTGGCAGAGCTTTCAGGGCCCTTACGCAGGCCCTGGATCCCCGCCGTAAAGAACTTGGCGAAAGATATGATCCTGTGAATCGTTTGGAATTAAATAGGAGATGGGTTACTCTTTCCACATATTCCAAATCCTCAAAATTGACCTCTGAACCCTCAAAATAGGAAAGAGCGAGATGCGACTTTACTCTCATTTTGTCGTAACAGGTAAAAATTACTTGCATACTATTAACATTTAATCTGCTGTCCATCAAGGTTATATGATAAAGCACCATGTCAAAGTCTTGTACTTGTGAGCCATTTTGGAAATGTCCAGTGAAACATTGATACTAACAGCATGTTAGTATCAAAATGGCACCCTTTAATGGTGGAAAGCTTAGTGTTAGGTTTTGTATGGGGCAACTGTCATGGAACAGTAGCTCCATACAATACATGTTGAAATGCTTACCATGATTGGTGGGGGCCACTACAAATAACCAATGATAGCATAACACCGGTCATCAGATTTGCCTGTACAACATTACCTGTACTACTGGGAAACAGGGCCTAATTTCATGGCGCAGAATTTTGTGCTTACGATCTCCATTCTGAGCTAACCGCGCAAGCAGAAAAATTCTGCGTTTACCCTTTAAGCACAGAATCCTTAGTTACGGGATGTACGCATGCACACAAGCCAAAATTCCTCACTAACCCATGAAATATGTTTGGCGTAAGTGCAGAATTTTCTGCTATGGTGAGCTCCGATTTTTCGCTTGTGGTAAGCAGTGCCGTGAAATTCGGCCCAGGGATAGACTGTGGGTAAAATTCTTGACTCCACTATTCTGTGCATTTTGCAGGGTTAAAATTATGAATGTCCACCTTTTCAGACAAATAAGCTACCTGTAAATGGTTCAACAATATCAGATTGTTCAAGGTTCATCTAACCTGCTGTGTTGTGGAGGCATTGTCTGGCTCATAGAAGTCATACACATTGAGAGTGCGTGGTGGTCGATGCTGGGAGCTAAATCCACTCTCAATAGCACTCTGCTCTAACATGAGAGCAGATCGATGCCACAGGTTATGGTTACGGCCTAGATACTGAAACCAGACAGACATGACGAAGAATCAGCTACAATTACAAAATGTTCTCAACTCTGTAGAGTACCAAAGTGGATAGTCACGTGCATGATTATGTGTGTGAAAGACCATTAGCCTGAGAACCAGTGCATGAACGAGCACGTGCGCGTACTTCACTTGTTTGCAATACACTTTCTGATTCAAATGATGACATGCTTTGGTACTCTACACTACAATATGATTGAAAAGAGATTTCTCACTCAAAGGGAAATACATGAAAGCATAACAGTATTCATTCATTTTAGAGCAACAACAATCAAAAGACATAAATACATGAGTAATACAGGCGTAAGTTATGCTCCTTCAACCAACACTATTGACCACTTGCTGCCCGGTGCTTTTAAAAATGCAGTGCACACATAAGGCCGATTTTAAAAATTCTTCAAAAATTCATCATTTCATTTAATGAACGCTTACAACCACATTGACTGTTTGGTGACTACTTTAAGCTGACAGGTAACCTTTATTGACTCCTAAATATTTCAGCCAGGCCTGCTCCCCTGTAAAGAGAGCCCAGAATTGCGAGGTGTTGCGTAATTTCCTTTGTTCCCAGTGAACGCGGGCGGTGTCTTTTCAAAGGCGGCTGGATTAGCATGCAGTGGTGCTGTGTCACTCATCAATGGGGCCCTGGGGCACTTTTGTCTACGGTGCTAATCTGTGGGCGCGCTATGCCCAAAACTGTGGTATACTGTTTAAAAACAGTGACGGATTACCTCCAGAAAATTGAAGCTGAAAAGTGATGGCAATTCCCAGCAGCAGGTCTTTTGTTCTGAGTACAGTCTTTTGTTACATGGACCAGCTGTCCCATTTCGGGCACCCCACCTCTGCATATAAACCCATGGTGCTCGAAACAGGGTTCCCCCGCAGTAAGTGGTTAATGTCTTGTAAACACAAAAACATGTGCCTTAAATTTAAAATTAGTGCTACATACTTAAGCACCATGCCATTTCAGTAATCTCTTGCAATTTTTGGTCAAGTATGACACTTTTATGCATTTCCACAGAAAAGCATAAGTAACGGCAGCGAGTTTAAAGATACAGTGTTAGGATTCCTAAACATCATAAAACCTATATAAGTAAAAACCCTATATGCATTTTACAACACCATAAAACCTTGTCCTCATACCTTGAGTATGCATGGCCGTAGCATGACCGGTGGTACACACAATGATATTGCTTCCACAAAAGTGTTGATCACACTTGGAGTACCATCCTTCTGGTACAAGTGGCTGCCGCTGCAAAGAAATGGACTTAACTCCTGGGCCAACAGCTGTTGACACACAAAAGATATCAACTTGAATTATTAACTTTTCACACAGCATATGTATGTGTAGATTACGTACAGTGTAGAAAGATGTGTGTCCTTGTCGTTCCCTCATTTTAGGGAAGATAAAATCTGGACTGAGATGTGACAAGTGTCCCCACAGTGAATTTACTCTCCATGTTAGCCATTTGCTCACCACATTATGCATTCAGTCTCCAAAACAACTGATCATATAAGTTAGTTTTTGTGGCCTGGCTGGCATCATGTGCCATACAAGAAAACTAAAAAGCAACAATTTGTAGTTAGATTGCTGTAGAGAAGGTTCAGGAAGGCATCAATCTATGATGGGACACAGAATGATATCACAGTGACAGCATTTGGTGGTAATACAAACAATATGCTCCCTAATACTATCTGCTCAGTCATAGCAAACTTACCGTCTGCTGCTTTGACAGCACTTGGTGGTAATACAAACAATATGCTCCCTAATAGTATCTGCTTAGTAATAGCAAACTTACCATCTGCTGTTTTTGACAGCATTTGGTGGTAATACAAACAATATGCTCCCTAATAGTATCTGCTTAGTAATAGCAAACTTACCATCTGCTGTTTTTGACAGCACTTGGTGGTAATACAAACAATATGCTCCCTAATACTATCTGCTTAGTAATAGCAAACTTACCGTCTGCTGTTTTTCATTGAGTATCTTCCAAAGTCGCCGGAAGAGATCCACCCAAAGCTGATGGGTCATTTCTGTGTCACAGTGACATAGCTGAGAAAGTGCTGTCAAGAAGTTGAAGGCCTGGAAGTCAACAAGAAACCGGCAAAACAACACATCACTGACTACTCTTGGAAGGACTTGACAGGTACATCAAGAGTCAGCTGTACACTGATAATGAAAGAATCAATACAGGACTTCACAGAAACACCACCAAGATGTCATCTTTAAAGTTGATAAATAGCCTATTTGAGAGGAATGCTTGGTGATGCTGTCATTGTGTGATACATCAGCGGGCACACGCTTACCTTAGCTTCTCGCAGTGACTCAATGAACTTGATATCTTTATTTATTAGCAACTGCAGCTGCTGTTTCAAGTCACTGCTTTTCTTGTTGGTAGCTGAGGCTGTTCCTCCTGATGAACTTACTCCCTCTGGATGGGTCAACTCTATGTCTATTTCAATATCCTACAGATAGAAACAGTCAAATTGAAGAACTCTGTGGCTTTATAAACTGTCTCCACATCTGAGATGCATCTGTGGCTATAACCCTCAAATTTACAACTTAGAGGTCTAAATTCTCAAAAAGTATTTTGAAGCAGAGAACTGTTCACTCGTAATGAAGTTTTTGTCACCACATTTTTACCAGAAATATCCTAATCAAAGTCTTCAAGGGATTACAGGGAGGGCCAGGCTGAAACACCCCGGTCTGTGTGTCATGTCACTCTGTTCTCACACTGATGTGTCATTACCTCTTCTTTATGAGACTCCATGTCAATATCCATAGGTTCCTCTTTGATGTTGATGGCCAATGAAAAAGCCTTCTTTTCTTGGCTGTCTGCCAAGCCAATAACTGATGTTATGGATGGAAGTTGGTGCACGTTGGTACAGGTCATTGACATACCATTTACACTGACTGCCATGATTAACTGCCAAGCAAACATTGCATCACAACAATGAGAAATCTGTAGCAATATGTATCATTTGGATTTAGAAACTGTTGGTTACATATTCAACACGTTAGAATGCTGCAAGGAGAAGTATATTATTACACATATCACATTTCTAAAGAAAAACAAGGGAAATCTGAACAATATTATTAGATAAGTTATTTTTTGACCTGCAAAATGTGTTTTACCCCGCTTTATGTGACTTGAATAAGACATGGACTGCTTAGAGTTTGGTAAACAATAAACTAGAGCACAATTTAAAACACTTTAGCAAGGTTGCCAGTGAAATTGGGGAAACCGAAACCCCCAAAAGGAACAGATATCCCACTGTACTTGATTTTAACGACTCCATTTTGGGTACATCATTACATGCACACTGGAAACATCTGTATATTGGTACCTGCACACACTGTTTCAACCAGTAGTGAGTGGACATTGCCTCCCAGTTCTGTGAGGCAGTGATATACAACAGTCTATCAAATAGACGTCTCTTGATACTGCCATTGAATACCTGTAAATCAAGCACAAAATATCCCATCAATAAAGTCCATGAAATTCTTACAACAGAACCAGCAGGATACAATGAAATAAGCTCTCTTGTAAATCCTATTCTTGAATCCAAGTTTTTTAATTTATCCATGTTGACAAATTTAGGGTATGTTAGGCCAGATGCATTTTAGGTGCATAAAAAATACCATTCAAGTTGGTTAACGTTACCCTGATAGACTTGTGTACATTTATCTTTGCACGTGCAGCTGGAATAGTGAATACTGCAACCTACTGGACTACTTTTACAGGCACAAAATAACACACCAGACACTTGAGTTTTTCTAGGTTATGTCAGGCATGTGACTCACCTCAAAGAATTTTTGGTGTATATGTGGTTGCTGACATCTCAGACCAGCAAGAAAGGCTGGCTCTAGTTTGGATGTCAACTCACTGCCCATCAGTGACTCGTCCCTGGTTCAGAAAAGAAAATGA